AAGGACTGCACTGCCCACCCTTTAGGAGGGAGGGGTCTAGAAAAGGTGACCCAAACAAATGCCTGCCACTCAAAGTCTGGTCAGTTTACCGCGGCTGTCAGACGCACCCATTTTGCGGTCGAAAACAACAAAAAAGAAAAAGAAAGATAATCTTTGGATCCTGGAATGTCAGAACTCTCCTCGATAGAGACCAACAGACCTGAAAGAAGAACCGCCCTTGTGGCGAGAGAACTCCGACGCTACAACAATGACATCGCTGCACTTAGTGAGACGCATCTTCCAGATGAGGGCTACTTAAAGGAAAAAGGAGGTGGCTACACCTATTTTTGGAAAGGGAAGCCACAAACAGAGGAAGGAATGCAGGGAGTTGGCTTTGCCATCAGATCAGCTCTCCTGAAGAACCTTCCTGCTCTACCAGTCGGAATAAACGAGCGCTTAATGAAACTCCGCGTCCCCCTCAACAAGTCTAGACACGCCACAATCATCAGTGCGTGTGCCCCCACACTGACTAACCCGGATGACACGAAGGGACAATTTTACCAATAGCTAACCGAGATAATTCAATCGACTCCAAAGAACGACAAGATTGTCCTGCTAGGTGACTTCAATGCCCGTCTGGGAGAATGTTCTTGGGCCTCAAAGAGTGGGAAGAGTCAACGAAAATGGTCTCCTCCTCCTCAGCATGTGCGCTGAACATGGTATGTGCATCACTAACACCCTTTTCAGAATGGCGGAAAAGTTCAAGACTACTTGGATGCACCCCAGGTCGAAACATTGGCACATGATCGATTACGTCATTGTACGCCAGAGAGACAGAAAGGATGTCCACCTGACCAGAGCCATGAGAGGGGCCAACTGCTGGACAGACCACTGATTAGTGAAAACTGTTATGGACCTGCACATCCAGCCACTTCACCGAAAAAAGGCAAAGAACCCCAGAGTCTCCTACAACACAACAAAGCTTGAAAGCGATTTCTACAGAAACAAGTTCGAAGAAGCTCTTGACAAGAAACTCAGCGAAGATCCCATTTTTATTAGTGACTTATCTGAAAAATGGACTTCCTTCAAAACAACTGTCAGAGAAACCGCCACTGCTATAGGCTACTTGGTCCGAAAGCTAAAACACACCAAGATTGGTTCGATGAAAACAATGAGCAAATTCAAAAAAATAATCCAAGCCAAAAACAAAGCCTATGCAGAATGGTAAAACGACCCCTCATCCCTCCCCAAAAAGGAAAGATTCAAGTCCCTTCAAGCTAGAGCCCAGAAAGATCAACGTGGGATGAAAGATTCATGGTGGAACAATAAGGCAGAACAAGTCCAGCTCTATGCTGATACCCACAACTCCAAGATGTTCTTCAGCTCTCTGAAAATCGTATACGGCCCAACAACCTCAGGATGTTCTCCCTTGTTGTTCTCGGATGACAAAAACCTAATCAAGAACCAAGAAGGGCTCCTCAAGCGTTGGGCCGAGCATTTCAGCTCTCTTTTGAACAGACCTTCCACTGTTGACCAAGATGCTCTTAATCAAATACCCCAGCAACCACTCCTGGAGGACCTAGACGCTCTTCCTATTATAGATGAAATCAAAAAAGCAATAAGCAAGACCAACTCTGGCAGAGCTTCTGGAAAAGACAGCATTCCGGCTGAGATCTTCAAGGCAGCAGGGCCTTCAGCCCTGGAAATATTCCATGACATCTTGTTGCAGATCTGGGAAGAAGAGCAAAGGCCAGCTGATATCAAAGACGTGCTCATAGTTGCGCTATACAAAAACAAAGGCAGTAAAGCGGACTGCGGTAACTACAGGGGCATAGCAGGGAAAATATTTGCTAGGGTTATCCTCAACAGACTAATAACCATCTCAGAAAAGATCCTACCAGAGGCTCAGTGTGGCTTTAGGCCAGGGAGAAACACTGTAGACATGATCTTTGTCATGAGACAAATTCAAGAAAAGTGCACAGAACAGAATTTGCCTCTTTACTCAGTCTTTATTGACCTTACCAAGGCTTTCGACACGGTCAACAGAGAAGCCCTGTCGACTGTCCTGGAACGGATTGGCTGCCCTCCCAAGTTCCTAAAGATCATCCAGCTCTTCCACACAGGCATGAGAGGGCAAGTACTTGCAAGTGGCAACATGACCAACGAATTCGAAATTACCAATGGCGTCAAACAGGGCTGTGTCCTGGCACCAGTCCTCTTCAATATCTTCTTCACCGCCATGCTTTCCCACGCCTGCAAGGATCTTGACAAGGGAATATACCTAAATTATCGACTGGGTGGCTCTCTTTTTTATCTACGTCGCCTGCAAGCCAAGACAAAAATAAGCACAAAGCTCCTTCAGGAGGCGCTCTTCGCCGATGACTGCTCCTTGAATGCTCACTCCGAAGAAGACCTGCAAACAATGCTCTCTCGCTTTGCAGAAGCCTCAAAGCTTTTTGGGCTAACAATAAGCATCGGCAAAACTGAAGTTCTTCACCAGCCTGCCCCACAAACTAAACCACTATCTCCAAACATCACTATAAATTGCAACAGCCTGAAGAACACCAAGAACTTCAAATATCTTGGAAGTATCATCTCTGCAGACGGCTCCATCGATGAGGAAATTGATTCAAGAATCAGCAAAGCCAGCCAAGCTCTCAGTAGACTGGAAAAACAAGGTACTAAAGCAGCATAATGTCCGGCTGTCAACAAAAACCAAAATATACAAAGCTGTTGTGCTCTCTTCCCTCCTCTATGGTTCGGAAACCTGGACACTCTACAGGAAGCACATCAACAAATTAGAGCAGTTCCATCAAAGGGCTCTCCGCAGCATACTCGGCATCCGGTGACAAGACCGCATCACCAACATTGAGGTCCTCAACCGATCAAGCTCACAAAGCATAGAGAGCATGCTCGTCAAAGCCCAACTGAGTTGGGTCGGCCATGTCATCCGCATGGAAGACCATCGAATGCCCAAACAGCTGCTGTACGGCGAACTCGCAAGTGGCAAAAGAAATCTCGGGAGGCCAAAAAAGCGGTTCAAAGACGTTATAAAAGAAAACTTTCAGCTTGCACAGATAACCCCCAAAGAACTCAAAAGAACAGCCACCAAAAGGAACGCCTGGCGCAGGGCCGTCCTTATTGCCAGCAAAAACAGTGATACAAACTACAGGGAGAAGCTGACTATCAGAAGAGAGAGGAGACATAAACCAACCACCACAACCACGACATTCCAGTGTCCCCACTGCAACAGACATTGTACATCCAGGATAGGGTTGCACAGCCACATGCGTGTCCACAGATGAGCTGCAGGACTCATCGTCATCTTCGGCAACGAAGGACTACCTACATCACATCATACAATTTAGACGTACAAACGCACGGTCACTCCCTCTAAACGCAGGCTCTGATTCGCGAAACACGCTGACAGGTTAAGCTTGACAAGGGGAAATTTTCACTATTACCTGCACAGCTTGCATAAGACAACCCTAAAAACCGGACTTTGGTGAGACTGGCCTTCATGCCGAACAAAAAGCGTGATGGACAGCGTTTTCATACCCAACTTTCCTCAGACACATAGGTTTAGGACTGGTTGATGAAATGTTGGGTAATTGGGGAACTGAAATGTTATCTGATTGGTCACTGGAAATGCAGTTTTGAGAGACGGTTTCTGACTCAGACTGGTGTCTGGATGACTGCATGTAATGTTTAGTTAGATCTAGACCGAGGCTCGATCTAGGTCTATGATGATGCGCAACACGTGTGAATGCTGTAAAACATTAAACACTAGATAGGCCTTTCTATATGATTAAAGATTAGCCAAGTAGGCCTAATCAGCTGCGCTCGTAGAACTTATAACGTAGGCCTACTTGTTCAACGAATCACGATAGAAATGTTCCTCTGAATGTAGAGATCTATGATTCTGAATTAATCTGATGTAGTCCATGAATTTACGGTCGAGGGTGGTCGCTTGGAAAGCCACGAGGCTGGGCCGTCTTCTCTACGACTATCACCAACAATTTCCTCTCAGGCTATCTGTTCCCGACATTTTATGGTGCCTATCATTACATTGAGTCTGTCTTTCCCCCCCCCCCCCCCCCCCCTCTCTCTCTCTCTCTCTCTCTCTCTCTCTCTCTCTCTCTCTCTCTCTCTCTCTCTCTCTCTCTCTCTCCTGAGCACCGTGCGTTTAGGCGGAGACTACAGTTTTACTGTACATGCACTATCACTCAAGCGCAGTGTGTGAATGGTTCTGAAGAAGGGAAGCAACCACAACAACCTTATGGATTTTTTAGGTCTAATACAGAGTTTTTGTCCTAGTTGTTTCTTTCATATTTTTCTTTCTTTTGTTTTATTTAGCCCAAGGGTACAACAAATCATGGCACGATGGAACTTTTAACAGTTTTACTTTCTTCTATTTGCAAAGCATGGTGCACTGCGTAAACATGTGTGTGATCAAATATAGGCCTATAAAATTTAATCACTCTGGTAACTCGGATAAGAAGGCAAATTATATGATACGTTGTCCAAGTATTGACCCTTTTTTCATTTAAAGAAGGCCAACAAAGCTAATTGAACTAATTAGATGTTTAAATTCAATAGGAAATGATTAGAATTTATTTGCGCTATCCAATGGGCCTGTTTGAAATAAGAAAATAAAAAGGTGTACGACTAGTATGAACTTAACTCAACGTTATATCTCGAACCCAAGCATCAAGGAGGCTCTTTACTATAAAAATTTAAAGTGAAGCTTATAGTAACAGATGTTTTAATAATGAGCATTGATTAATATTTAATCCTTGAGTGATGTTATTCTTACCCCCCAAAAAAGAGTCATAGACCCGAACCAGGCAATTTAGATGATGTATGGGATGAGTCAGCACAATTCCCTGAATTTCCCCAAATCAGAATATGAATCCGAAACATGGAAACAGAAGTAAAAAGAGTAGACCTCACCACAATGACCATAACCACAAAGAAAAATTTTTATATGACACTTAAAATTAAAGAAACTACAAAACATGTCATGTATGTAAGTATTTAATAAAGCCATGTTTAACAAAAACAGCATGTGAAAGTCATATGTTTTACACCAAAAAAAACAGTTATTTTGTGACAGACTGTCACTCTGTCAAATCAGATTTCATCCACTTTAAACAGTTTCTCGACATAGAACAGGTAAATTTTAATGAGTTAGTGCTGCATAATTATAGAAATCTGTTTAAATAAACTGCTTGCACTTAACAAAATAAAGGACATTTCAGTTAGAGAAATCAATATAACAAGTGGCTCATATTTGATCATATTTGAGAGATGAAAATTTAGCCCCAGCAGGGTCCAAGGAAAACAAAGCAGCAAAAACAATCACAATCCTTTTAAAGGAGGGAACACACCAGCTCAGGGTAAAGGAATTTAATATATACCCGTACTCCATATTTGCACTTTGATTGAAAGATACAGTTCAATTATTCATTTTTTTAAATAAACTTGGAACATCATGTATGTTAAAAGCTCACATAAAAGAAAAAAAATGATCAAATGATAAGATATATCTAAACCACCACAAACATAAATCACATTAACTCACCTCCATGATAAGAAACTGACTGTAAATTCATCCATTTATGTAAAGCGCCCACAATTGTGTTCACATTGGAATACGCACTATAAGAATTAGCTACATCATTACGAAAATAATACCTTGTAATACTGCCACCCTTAGGAGTAGCGTGAAATTGGCGAAATAGTGGGGCTAGTAGTTAACAAGATTCCTTGTTAAACAGGCCAGACTGCCTATTTTAACCCTTAGGGAAATGTTTTTAAAGAGTCATCTGTGTTTGAAAAGTGTCTTTTTGTTGGTGATTTACATGTACATGGATTGAGAACTGCGAGAGTCTCTCTCTTTCTCTCTCTCTCTCTCTCTCTCTCTCTCTCTCTCTCTCTCTCTCTCTCTCTCAGTGTATGATTGTATGGGAGTGTGCATGTGTCTGTACGTGTGTTTGCATTTTTAACCAAACAGAAGCTAGGCTTTATGTGTCAAGGTCCCTGCAGATGTACAGGGGTTTTTTTTTACCTAATGCCCATTATTCCTTGGGCCACCTCAGACTTGTCACGTAGGCCTGAGTGTGAGTCCTCACAAAATAAAACGTATACAACAACAAAAGTAATACTGGCCCCAAAAGCAACTGACCCAGTGAACACTGTAGTAAAATGAGGAAGAGCTTTGTCAAACCAGTTTGTCGCTTATGATACAGTCAGGGTAGAAATTCAGACCGGAAAATGTGCAATTCTCAAATGGAATTCAGCAAGAGCTAATTCAAGTCTCAGACCAAGTAAAACAAATAAACCTTTGTTCTTTGAATTCTCTGTCATTATCGGAATACCATTGCCACAAAACATTATACAACATACAAGAAAAGAATTTTTGCTTTACCTAACAATTTCTTCATTGAAAGGATAAGATATAATAATAATACACTTGAGGTGTCTCAGTGACATTATCTTTTCCTCTGACAAAATAAACATCCATCAACTGTACCAACAACAATGCTGAAATATTCTTAGTTATCACTCCATCCTGTGGTCTATAAAACCGTCACACTGTAACGCAGGAAATAAAGACATCTATCCAACAGAAACTAATCAGATACAATGTAACTAATGGTTTCAATTCAGAAAAATCTAACTTGAATAGTTGTCCCCATTACACAAATTCAGAAAAACCAAACAGTTATCTACCAGACTTAATCTATCAGAAATGGAAGGCTTCAAGGCAACTTCCCCTCCAGGATTGGAACCAACTTGCTGGTATCTATGTTCCCGCCCGATATCACACACACGATATTTCCCTCCCCTGCAAGACCAGCAAGGGCGGCAGCAACAGGCGCCGCTCCCGCACCCTCAGCGATCACATGATTCGCCTCAGCCAATAACCTGATGGCTTCCGCGATCTGCTGCAGTGTCACCACTAAAGAATCGTCGAGCACTTCACGGACCAGGGGCCACATCTCTTGGAGGATGTTCCCGCTGCCCATGCCATCCACGAAGGAGGGAGTGTAGGTGCAGGCCACTGGCTCGCCCGCCTCGAAAGATGCTGACAATGGCGCTGCTGTGTCCACTTCACATGCAAACACCTAAAAACAATTACAATAATAATTACAATTATAAAGAAAATGATGATGTGGATCATCACTGCTTGATGTTTTCTCAAGGCTCTCCACTTTTACATTACTTTTCAATGATGATGATGATGATGGTCAAGATGATAGTGATGACTGCAAGACTTTGGTCATATCTAAAACAACTGATAAAAAATGTCTTTTTATGTAGGTGTTTGTTATGCCCCTATCGACACAATTTAGTTCTTTTAGAAGGTAGGCTTCTAACCATGCCTGTGTAAGAGCCAACCTAACCTGACAGAGATACAACATCCCAGCAGAAAGACCGAAAGACCAAGATATTCGTTAAAAAATTCTCCTCACTCTCCAATCAAACTCAGGTCTCCTGCATTTGACAGCAAAATGCCTAACCACTACACGACAAACATTGGTATACAACTGAATAATAATAATAATAATAATAATAATAATAATAATAATAATAATAATAATAATAAAAATTAGTAATGAAATAACAATTGATAATTATAGGGTAACACTAAAGACAACTACAATAGAAATAGTAATAATAGCACTGTAATGACAGGACTGATGATGATAATTATAAGTGTAAAGATGAAGATTGAACAATTAATTATAATAGGAATAAAAAGAGTAATAATAATGTAAATGATGATAAAATAGCTGATAATGATGATGACTCGTCCAGGGCATGTGGTTTCACCTTTAGGTAATGAAGTAGAGCATATATAAACTAACTGTGGATTGATGGGTTAAGTCAAGCCCAAAGCTCATTCATGAAACGGTGAAGCATGTTAGAAACAAGTTGTTTTAAATGCCTTAAATTGTGTCCATAGCAGTGTAAAACCCAAACTTAAAGGTCTAGTCCTGAACAGACAACTCCAAAAGAACAAAATTCTCACCTTTACACTTGACTTCTTGCCCTTTGCAGCTACTGCTATGCCCGAGGAAAGACCGCCACCTCCGTAGGGCACAATGATGGAATCCACTTCTGGGAGATCTTCCAGTATCTCTAATCCTATGGTACCATTACCTGAAATACACACAAAGATGTGTTGGTACTAGCATTATTTTGTTTATATTCTTTGGGGGCGGGGATAAGAAAGTAATGCTCTGCTACCATTAGAAACTAAGTCATTTTAAAATAGGGCACAGGGTCAACAGGTTATAGCAAAGATAAAATAAGGAAGAGAAACACCTCTACGATAAAACCTTTCTTGTTCAAGTATGTTATGTTATTAAAAGTTAGGACATACAACCAATAAGCAGCTCCGCTGATAGAATCTAAGATAGCAAAAAGAAAACTGTATAAAAATATGTTCCGCTCTTCATTTTCCTGCCTGTTGAACAAGTAGAGTTGCCTTCACCCTGGCCCTTGCCTCAGTGCACACCACCTTTACACTTCCATGCACCAAAAGTGAGGTGGCCAAATAAAGGAGTTTTCCCTTTGAAGCTCAGGGACAGAGGACTGGAGAGTCAGGGGACCAAACCTCAAAGGGTTAAAGACCTTTTGATTATTTTTTGTTTTAGTAAGAGTTTACGGTGCTCGCAACTGCATTAGGTCATAAGAACGCGCCCTTTCTTTCATTCATCACAAACTCCTCGTTCCTTAAGAAGCAATTACAACTATTTTTGCATATACCATTTAAGAAATAGTAGTATTGCAAGCTGATCAGTATTCACCCACCAGCAATCACTGACGACTCAGCTACAGGATGTATGAAGGCTCCTTTCCAATCCTCATAGCTTCTGTCAACAAGTACCTTCCACCATCTGTCAAAAGGCACTTTAGAAACATCAGCTCCCATGGAAATGGTCGGCTTTATTTTTGCCTCAGGGGCATGGTCTGGCATGACTACTCTACAAGGTATGCCCAACTTTTTCGCATTCCAAGCCAGACCCTAGAAGTGGTAAAATAAAATAAAAACGATTACCAAAGTAAGTAGAAATATTTCATCACCCAGTCAACTTCACGGCTACCTATAAAATGAATATTAGATCAATCCCTTTCATATAAAGCACCAAAGACGAAGAAAAATGAAGTTGCTTCCTCCTAAAAAAAGTTAATTCTTGAATAATCATCCTTTTACTAGGAGCCTACACAGTATCAAAGCCTGAGTAATCTATAGCATGTATAAGACAAGACAAACTCTGAAAAAAAAGCTAAGTTCTACAACAATCAAAAACCTCTTCATTCACAGAATATATATTTGAAAATAATCAAAGGGTTATCTGAAAAAAAGGAATGTGAACTTGTCTTTTATTCACACACATTACTCCAGGCTCCATAGATGATATACACTGTATAAATTGCCAAACTTTTTAATTGGGAAGCTAGATTTACAAATTAAAACACAATTTTACTGGAATACATCCATACCTGAGCAAAATTTCCCGCACTCGCTGTGTACACTCCATCTCCTATGACCTCCTGAGGCAGGCAACTTATCGCATTACAAGCTCCCCTTAATTTGAATGATCCAATGGGTTGAAGGTTTTCTAGTTTCAAATAGATCTGTGTTAGTAAAGCAGAACAAAGTGCTGTAAGTACCTGTAATTGCAACAAAACAAGCACAGAATAAAGATAGACCAGAAAAGACAAAATTACTCTCTCTTTCAAGAGATTGCTCTTAAAAGAAGAAATATATAATATTTGTAAAACTCAATGTTGTCTTCCACTGATGCTATGCAGCATGAAGTTTTTCAGTTTTATCTAACCTGTTTCATCAATAAGATACCAAAGTGACCATTTACCTAAAAGACACAGCACCAACATGGCTTTCCTTTCTTTAGCTAACATTTGTTCAAACAATGATGTTTGTCCTTCACTAGCAAGGATGAGCTTGACTTCATATCACTGGCGGTGTGGGGTGTGTGCGGAGATGCTGATCAGGCCGATATTCACTCAGAAATGTCTGTTGCAGTGGAGGCAGGAGATGTTTGGGGCTTAACTAGACTGGAAGGTAGGGGTCTCTCAGTCTTTTCTCAACTGCCATCTCCATTCTTTGTTCTTGATGAATCTTTCTTTGGACCTGGTGAGCAGTTTCGTCGCAGGTGGTATGAGGAATGTCATATCTCTTCAGGGATGCTTTCAGGACATTTTTGAAGCTGTTTTTGTCCGTCGAGAAAATGTTTGCCTAGAGTCAGCTCACCATAGAGTAACCTCTTTTTGTGTATCTAGTTTTTCTGTTCAAATAATATGACCAGTGCCCTCCAATAAAAGAAAGACTATATATTCATCCTTTCCATTTGCATCATAAAGGTTTTTCACCTTCTTTAAATGGGCTTAAATATTTTCCTATGCTTATATTTACATTGTTTTTCACAGTGATTCAAAATAACTCAAGGCAGAAAATGTTCTTTTTATTTGAAGGTGAACCCCTACTTGAAGAGGAATTTTTGTCCGCATTTTTTTTTTTTTTTTTGCTCACGAACAAATCGCCCTGGGGTGGTGGGGCACCTGAAGGCTACCTCGGCTATTACAAACCCTGCAGAGCTCATATTTGCTGTGGGACATCATGTATCATTGGGGATTTACATTCTATTGTTAAAAAAAGTAAATCTGGTTCGGTTGCCATGGAAACGGTGGCCATATTGGGTTTAGTATACCTGTTTTCATCCCATTTTATTCACTCATAGAAAAGTACAGATCGACAAATTGGATAGAGGAATTATTTATATATGCTTTAGTTTCATTTTATGGCACTTAAAAATTGGCTTATTGCGTAACTGTGAAAAAAAACTAAAAATCAGGCTTTCGGAGGCCATTTATCAAAAACAACAAATGCAATCAAAAATTCATCAGACAACTTTTTAGAACTCGTTGTCGTTAACATTCTGTGGAAGTCACATTAAAATTTAAAAAGAAACAAAGCAGAAAAATGGGAGGGTGTGTTTGAAAATATCATTTTGAGAAAACGGCCGATAAGGGTCAAAAAAGGCCAAAATAATTCTCTTTCCAGTAAACACCTTGAAAACATATTTCAAACTGAAACATGGCAAGCTACGTGATGATATTAATACAGAAGACATAGAATGGAGGTTTCCTACTAAAACTGAAGCATATAAGTGGTGCAAAACATGTTTTTTGAGACAAAAAGTGGCATTTATTTTCTTTTAAAATGTTCCTACCCTCTTCTCTAAATTCCCTTCAAACCACTTTAGGGTAATCTACAGAAACGCTTTCATACGTTTTTGGACATTGTTCAGGAAATATCCAGGAAATATAATAAATGATAATCCCAGTTTTCATAATTTCACCCAAAAACACAATTTTTAGGTGCCCCACCAGCCCTTAGACCTCTGGGACAAATTTCCAAAAACATCCCACATATAATTTTGTTTTTCTTTCATAACACACAACAAAAAATCTTCAATTTACACAAGCAAAGATTTCTGCCATGTATCTGACTTACTGCAAGTATGACCATATATATATAATATGATTTTAAAATGAACAATTGAGTCATTGTACTTCAGAGAAAATTCTTGCTGTGCTCTTGATAACAGAAAAAAATTGGATGGCTTACCTTTCTTGATTGACTTTCAACATTCAAAGGTACCAAAGGTGTTCTAAAAACAGACGATTTGATTTTCCTTTGAGCCTCCTCCACATCATGAAGACAAATGGACACTGAATTATCCATCTCTGTAAGGAAAAGGATCAGATTTACAACAACAAAAAATGTATTTTCTGAAAGATAGGGAGAAAAAGCTCAAAAAAATTTTTTGTAAAAGATTAAAAAACAAAGAAATATTATGAACAGAAAAAATAAAGACACAACAAGACCGAAAGACAAAAAACAAAAGAGAAGAGGAACATTGGGATGACAGACATGCAAACGGATCAGATAGTAATAAAACCAAAGAAGCTCACAAAAATAGAAGGAGTAAGATTGTATTGTTTCAAAGAAAAGTGTGTGTCTATCTAATGATAATGACAGGCTTTTAATTAAAGTGTCCTTGATCTAATTTTTAAAGCCATTTTGGTTCAAATAAGTGAGTGTGGGGGGTGTAACAAATGTTCAGTTGCTGGTGTGGGAGGCATCATGTATTAAGTGTCACAAGGTGTCACTTTTCACCTGATTCTGTGACTTGTAGTTGGCATGACTCAGCACCTGCAGGAGCTCCCAGGCTCTGGGTCATTTGGGTTAATTAGCGCTGAAGCGAAATTGCCATCATGAGAAGCTCACATTTTTTAAACAATATAACTTCTTCCCATTCCACACAGCAAACTATTACACAGATGAGTAAAAAACGCCTTTTGTTTTGCAATTTATTCTTCATTAGAATGGCTACTTTGTGTGTCTTGGTTTTTGTTCTAGACAAGTGTTTATAGAGTACCCAATATATCCTATTTTTGCTTTACATACACACGTATGAATAAATGATTATTTATTTTAAAACTGCTGGATAGATCTCTCCAAAATCTGTATTAAACTGACCACGAATATCATGCCTTTCACCATGAGAAATCTTAAATGATTGAATCTGCTCAGATAGTTAGTGAAGTTATGAAATAAAAAACATGCACACACTTGCATTTTTTGACAAAATACCCTTAGCATTGGCTCAAGTATTGGCTCTTGCTTTACCACAGAACACACAAGAGAAAGACACTTTGCCTTTGTTCATGAGTTATGCAGTCACTAAGAAAAGTTTAGAAAGCTATGCAATTAATCAAAAACACAAAACAATGTAAATACATAATTTTGGCAGAGATTCTTTTCGTATTAATATGTTGAATTTAATTTTATACACGTTATGCCTGTTCTGTCGATTAGTGCAATCGGTGAATCGCGCAACGCATTTGGTGGATCCATGGAATGCACAACAATAACAATCCATCGATTGTTGTGTATTCTGTACAGTAGAACACGGCTATAGCGGGGCATTTTGTTCCAGAAGAAAAATCCAGCAGTAAGCGAGGTATTCCCGCTATAGGAATACAAAGTGGGAAATTTCCTAAATTTTTCAAAAAATCCACATGAATACCTCCCTTCCCTATCAGTCAAATTTGGGTTTTTGATTAGGCTTCCTTTTTTTGTCAACTTCGTTGATTATCTCGGCTTTTAATTAAAGTGAGAAACATTTCCTTTTGTCCTTGTTGGAAGCCATCATTCCTCGATTTCGTTGCCAACAATATGACGACACGAGACTGCTTTGTGCAGGATACCCCGACTGCAAATATCAATATACAAAGGTATTGAGTGGGGGAAAGGGGGAGGAGCAGAAAGACAGACTGGAAGGGTAACTGTACAACTGGTGAAGTGGACGTGTGCATATGCCTATAAGAATCAACGATCGCAATTCAATGAATCAGGAATCACACACTACACGCTCTCCTCTTCTTTTAATTTTTGGCCTAGTCTAGGGCTATGGCCTATACGCTCTCATACTGAGTCTCTAAGCTATGGTACATCACTTTTAAAGTGGCTCACGTAACATGTCTCTCCGCAACAGCTCTCTCAGCCACCTGCCCCACCTCACTCATCACTGGACTGGCCATTCACAACGCCGCACCACTGACTGCCTGCTTGGAGCCCATCTACAGCCCCCCAACCCCCTTCCCAGCTAGAGCTTGCTCGATCCCTCCCGCTGTATCCGAGTTCGGCCTTTTCCTTGTCCCGCTAAACCCGAGCACAGGTAATTGAGTTTACATAGAGAAAAAAGGAGGATTCCGGTAAGGTCCTACTGTAGCGGGCAGGTGCCGCTGTATTCATGTTCTACTGTATTAGATCGGTGAATCATGCAGCGCTTTTTCTCGATCTGTTCAATGCACGGTGGATCTTAGATCTTACCCGAGTGTAGTGTTCAGCTTTTCAGCTATGAAATAAGACGTTAACATCAGATGAGCATCTATATCCATATTGTTGACATTGCACTTAGAGGAAGTTAATGTCATACGTATGACTAAATAATTTACCTAGATATAATCTTATTCCAGGAGTCAGGCCTGGAGCAGGCACCAACGATCACAAGTCTCAGAGACAATCAAAAACCGATAGGATGCCACATTTGAGCTTCATAGTCTAGTATTTAAGGGTTTTATAAGATGGACATTCATCCCAATAAACACCAGACTACTACTACTACAGACATGCCTTACCCTGATGCAAGTAAAGAAGAATGACACACATAAAAAAGATTTTAAAAAGAGGAACACATTTTCTCCTCAAAAACCACTGTCTACATCTTTTGCTGCTACTACTACTGCTACTTGTACATGTACTTTATGATTTGTCTCTTTGAAAATTACTTATGCTGAGCTTATGCCTACTAAATTTTTATATCTTCATACTTTTCGATAGACTGTTGTGCATTCCAAGGATCCACAAAAAGCGTTGCGTGATCCACATATTGGATAAATCGGCAGAAAGCACCAAACATACAGAAAGACAGAATATACATTCATTTTCAGTTTTTGCATCGGAAATACAGTAGTCTCCGCCTAAACGCACAGTGCTCGGGAGGGCTCCTTAGCGTGTGTTTACATGGAGTGTGCGTTTACTTGAGACATGGAGGCTCACAGCATCAGCAGCAAGAAAACTGCAGAGCTTCATAAATGGATGCCTACAAAGGATAGTGGAGATCAAGTGGTACGATCGAGTCACTAATGCTCAACTGTGGGAAAGAACAAGCCAAAGGCCAGGAAAGGAAGACATACCGGTGAAGAAATGGAAATGGATTGGACACACCCTGAGGAGACCCTCAACAAGCATCATCAGGCAGGCTTTAACGTGGAACCCACTAGGAAAACGTAAGAAGGGAAGACCAAAGATGACATGGAGGCGAGCGGTACAAGCAGAAATTGAAAAAGCGGGGATATCATGGAAACTGATAGAAAAGGATGCTCAGGACAGGCTTCACTGGAGTAATGCTGTTGATGGCCTGTGCTCCACTCGGAGTTAAAAAAGGGCAAGAGAGAGAGTGCGTTTACATGAACCTGTGAAAAGGGAGGAATGGACACAGTGTCTAATTGCCTTGATATTTTAGTGATCTCCCTTGAAAAGTGGGGGGTAATTTTGGCCGACTCCAGACTGTTTTGTGAAGGATTCCCCGACTGCAGTAATCAATATACAAAAGCGTTAAGAGGGGGAAAGGGGGGGGAGAGCAGAAAGACAGACTAATTGTACTGAAATCAGGCCCAAAAAAATGTCGGAACAGATGGGAGGGAACGGTTGGTGAAAGATCTAGTCATACGGAAAATTTTCAATCGACCAGTCCCGACAACCCGTCATCTATTGCAACTCGGTAAATGCATGGTTGACATCCAAATCCGAATCCGAGTGACTTTTCTCTTGTGATTCGCTGAGCAAGTACATTATAAGTTCTTTGAGAGCAGCTGATTACTTGACTAACCTTTAATCCAATAAATGCCTATCTAGTGTTCTACAGCATTCACACGTGTTGCACGTCATAGGCCTAACTAAACTACGGCATGCAGTATCATGACTCAAACACCAGTCAAAAACCTAGGCTTCTCTCAAAGTCAAAGACGAATTTCGAATGCCCAATCAAAAGATTTTCAGTCTCCCCACCCCCAATATATCACCCGACGAGTCCTAGACCTATGTATGTGTCCGTGAAAAATTGGGTGTGAAAACACTCTCCATCACTCTCTTTGTCCTGTGTGAGGGGCAGTCTTGCATAATATCCGACTGTCTAGGCTTGTCCATGCAAGCTGTGCAGGTTGTAGCAAACATTTCCCTTTGTCAACCTTTACCTGTTGGCTAGGGCTATTCGGACTCAAGTCTGAATAGCCTGCCGTTGCTATTTGGACTGAAACTCCTGAGCGCATGCGCAGTCACCGGGTTTTCCAGGTGCGAAGCGGACAGGCAATTCGACCTTGGCCTTCCTCGGTTTCTACGATCTGGCCAGAATTTTCGACACAAATTAAGAAAAGTATTAGTGACGTCAAAAGTGAGCATGCAACAGTTGCAAAATCTGAAATACTACACAACAAAGGCAAATAGAAGGGGAACGACAATCTGAGCTCAAAGCAGTAAAAAAATTGAATATCAAAGTTTCAGAATAACAAAGTATTATAAAGTCTATCAATATTTAGTCTAAACCCGCTTTGTTTGTCGAGAAAGACTGTTAAATCATTGATCAATTGGAAATCCAGTTAGAAATTAAGAAGAGAAAAGTTGAAAACCCTTCCAGAGGAAACAAAAGTCAGTCATTCAAAATAACAGTTGTCTCAAGGGAAAGCTTTTCCAATAGCATATTTTACATGATGTTCAAATAAAATCTGGACAAAACAATACATATTGGGGGATCGGGCGGGGCGGGTCAGGGCGGTTTACTAGCCAGGTTGAGGGCGCAAAGCGGTTATCTTGGCACAAGCCGATCGCGCCCGACTCATTGCCTCAAAAATAAACGCATTTATTTTCTGGCAACGAGGCGAGCGATTATCCCAACCCGACCAGACCCGACCCAACCCCATCCCCCAATAGGCACCCAGTAATACTAGACAAGCGCACTGGAGTTCGAGTCCGAATAGCCATGGGAGGTTATTCAGACTCGAGTACGAAGAGCCACTTCGTTACCTGTCGGCGTGATTCGCGGATCAAAGCCTGCTTATAAGAAATGGCTGTGTGCTTGTATACCTAAATTATTTAGATCTAGATATAGTAAAAACCCGTTGATTAAAGCGTGCGATTGAGCAGAGCATGTTTTTGTATTTCAATCTGGCCAAAATAAATTTTGAATACAAAAAAAGCTGAAAAATATTACAGTAATGTGGTAGGATTCACTTCACCTATATGGCCACTTTTGTCCTTAGCAATCATTCTGTTTCTTATGTAAACAAACGGGAAGGCAATTTCCAAAGGGCCCCCCTCTCCTACACAGACACAAGGCCTACTGCCAGGCGCTACTTACTTAGGCTACGTTACTGTGGTCAATTGACGTATTTGAAACTGAATTATGACTCTGCAGCTGATTGCTGATAGCATCAATAGATTGAGATCAAGTGATGATGCAGTCAAGAAAATTTGAAGACTTTAACGGACAAAACACTTTTTGAAACTTAACAAAACACTGTAAACACTCACTCACACCCTTCACTACCAACTACCACTGATACCAGTATAAAAATGCTGGTCGAGCGGAACAAGATTGAAGAGATTAATTAATTATTATCTCTGGGCTATACCCGAAACAAATCAGAAGAGCGCTTCGGGGAGAGGGTGATCATCCACTGATAAACACAATCCAGTCAATCCACTGGCTTGATAGTTGTTGTTGTTGAAGTTTTCAAATACCTTTAGCTGCGAGCATTTTGCTCTTGGCAGCGCAATGCCTCCCTCAAGTAACCACATGTCCTTGTCATCTGGTCAACGCCAGAGTAGAGCACTTGGAGTAACTTACTCCAAGGTAGAGCAGGCTTTGTAAGTCTGTAGGTGTGTGTAGAAGCTAATTGCGTCGAGGAACTGCCAGGTTTGGGCAGTGAAGGAGATGTTCAACGGTCTCCTCGTGGTAGTCACAGTGTCTGCAATGGGGTTCCCACATGGGGTTGATTCTGTTGATGTGCTTGTTGGTGTGTAAGTGTCCAAGTGGCTTGATAGTCAAATAGTCCTTCATACTGAACTGTTTCAAACATGAAAATAATGTTTAAACCTATCTTTGCACAAGTGCACTCACGTCCGTTTACCTTTAACCAGAGAGTTTTTAAAAATATGTGCGTCACTTATTTCGTTTTTGTGTAATTGCTGGGTTTAGAAGCACGATCTCTCTCTCTCTCTCTCTCTCTC